TAGGAATGCTTAGATTCATTAAGCGAAAAGAAAGAAACTGGAGAATTGAAGATTTATGAACTGTTTACAACAGAGAAGACCCTTGTGAAGTTAAAACAACAAAAAATATTTGATGCAGAAACCGTTGATCAGTAAAAAATGAATTGAAATCAGTAGTGTCTTTATGGACGAAAAACATATTGTGAGTCAAAATCAAGTAACTGAAATAAAAGATCGCAAAGATTTTAACTATCCTGTGGTGCTTCCAAGCAATCATAAACTTGTTGAATATATCTTTAAAAATATGAATTTAAAGATGCACCATGCTGGCTTACGTGCTTTGATATCCAAGCTAAAAGAAACATTTTGGATCTTTAAGCGTAAAAAAATAGAAAGACAATTTAAGCAGTTATATCCCTATGAATCAAACATACAGAACATGAAAATAAAAGAATAAAGAGTATCCTGCATCTGAAAACAGAGTTCGAAACACTTTTGTTTTTGAGATCCATGGAGTGAATTCAACGGGTCTCTATTTGTGAAAATCAAGAAAAGATTTTAATTAAGTTTTTTTTTTTTTTTGGTTGTTGTTGTTGCTTACAGGGCCATTCACGGACCTTTCTTTCAACTCAAAGTATTTTATTTGGAATGCGCACTGCAGGAAGAGGACGTCACTTTGGTATTTACAGTGATATCAGAAGTAGTTTCAGAGGCGTCAAAATCTTTTAAAATTCATAAAGCGAGATGTCACTAAAACTGAAGTTTCAGTAAAAAGAATCCAATGGAATGAACCTTCTTGTAGCCTTCTGAGGGAAAAGGTTTCGAGAGAAGAATGGCTCAAATGATTAAAAATCTTTTTAGTTGAGGTTTAGGAACGTCATCTTTAGTATACGAACAGCCGATTAACGTTTCATATGCCTGTAAACCTGTAGTGAATTCTGGACCATTCACATATTCTCTTATGATATATAGGATCTTACTCCGTTGACCACAGCAATGCTTCTGGGAGAACCTGGAGAAGTTGGAGTACCTGAATTGATAAAATGAAACGACGAGGGCGTTGTTCATTTTTCACCTCCCCTGTTTTAAAAATATCCTAATGAATTTATAGTGGTGCCCAAACTAAAATGTGGAGGATGATGATTCTTCACCACCAGGATTTGGCGATTGGGTCCCCTAATCTCCAGTTGCCATTTAAAACGGAGAGTATATAAGGTTAGTTAGTTGGTTCTGAGCACTGGCCCCCAGCCCACCTAGCAGGTGAAACCTGCCATATGGCTATGAGAGGACATGCCATACCACAAAGGCATAACAAAAAATTTAAAAAAAAGAAAAAAACGTAAAGTAGATACATAGACATGCGACATGCGACGGAGGACGTGGGCACCATTCTTCTACCATTAGGGTTAATTGGTATAGCGCCACGTCCACTTGTGTCTAGTGAAACGTGCGAAGGTCACTGAGGCCACAAAAACGCCTCCACCGACCACCGAAACCCAGCGCCTGATGCAGCCCACATTGCATCAGCTATACCCTTGCGACCACTGGGAAATTATTTTACAAATATTGTAGAAAATGACATGGCTAAACAAGGGTCATCACTGCTGCTGCAGGCTGAATTATCAGACATTAGTATGCACACGTTGCTGAATTATATACCAGATTACTAAATTATATATTGGAGTACAATATACAATATGGTATAGAATCATGTAATGCATAGTAAGATTATACTAATGCTCAAAATACATATTGAAACAGGAAGTATTATACATATTGAATTATGACACTTACTGTATCTGAACATACTAAGATATGATATACATGATGAGGTTATACAGATATTTCTGAGACTTAAAATACATGGTGAAACATTAAATACTGTACATACTGAACATGAGAATACTATGACTGAGCATATTGAAACATGAAATACATAGTGACATAATACTGATTACGCTAATTACACGAAATAAATACCTAATGAAACATGAAATACTGTACGTACTGAGACAGAAAACATACTATAACTGAGCATACCGGAACGTGAAATGCATGGTAAGGTTATACTGATATAAGATACTGAATTATATACAAGATTGCGGAATTATATACAAGATTGCGGAATTATATACAAGAAGAGATATTCGTATGACAAACATAGAATGCATAGTGAGATTGTACTGAAGACTTGAAAAACATGTTGGAACAAGGAAATGCTGAACATACTGAAACATATAACATACTATAATTGTACATTCTAAGTCGTGAAATACATAATGTACTGCTACAAAGTACTGAGTTATATACGGAATACTTAATTATATCCAGGAGAGATATACATATGTCAATATTGAGCTGTATAGAAAGGTTATACTGGTGCTTGAGGTACATAGTAAAGCACATTGTAACTGAGCATTCTGAAACACGAGGGTAACATAATGAGGATATACTGAAACAAGATACTGATACTAATACTTATGTTATACTGATATTTGAAAGATAGAGAAACATGGGAAACTGAACATACTGAAACATGAAACATGCTGTTACTGAATAAAATGTGACATGAAGTACCTTGTGAGTTTATACTGACGCAAGATGCTAAATTAGATACCGGATTACTGAGTTATACAAGGATGATATATGAATTACAGATTTGAAATACATAGTAAGGTAATTGATACATAGAAAGGGTGACATTATGCTGATATAAGATAATAAATTATATACAGGATTACTGAATTAAATATGGGAGAGAAATACATATTATAATGTTAAATACGTAGCAAGATATGCAGACAGACGCTACAAGAATACATAAACAAAACAGTTCACTTGGTGACAGGATATAGGAGTGTGTAATAATGGCGTATATAAATTACAGACTTGAGATGCATAGTGCGGTGATATTGAAACATAGAAAAGAGGGTGAGATTATAGTGTTACGAGATAGTGAGTTATATACATGATTACTGAATTAAATACCGGGGAAAAATACGCATTACAAATTTAATACGTATAGTGAAATTGCAGACAGGCGTTACAAAAATACGAAAATAACAGTGCATTGGTGGCAGAATATAGGAGTACATAAAGCATACATTTGGTATTTCATGTGTACATATGGATGCTGCTGACTGTGATTACGGATGCTGCCATTACTGCGTTTTATGATGACAAAGTACTTGTATACATAATAAGTTAGAGCCATTCATATGTGCAGTTACAATTATATAATGCTGCCAGTGAGCTCCCTTTAGCTGGTATGGGAATGTTGCATGATGCACTAAGTACTCTTAAATGGTTTATACTTGGCATAGGTCTGTTCCTAAGCCCATAAGCTTGTCAACAATTTTTGTAATGCTGCGCTTCTTAATTCATAATTAATGTTCATAATTAAGATGTCGCTGCTTAATTATGAACCTCGCTGAAGGCTAATCTGTTTGTCTCTGGGAACGGGATGTGTAGATCCTCCGTTAGTGAGCATTTTTCGACATAGTGTTCTGGCGTTCCCAGTTCACCGCAGCAACATACGGAGGTAGTCGTCTTGCCGAATCTTTCAAAGTAGACTGGGAACGGGCCATGCCCGGTAATATAGTAGACCAGTTGTGGATTTACTATAAGACGTTCTGGATCAACCTTTGGCAGATTCGCATACGCACGTCGTTCTGTCTCATCGTTGTTCCATGCCTCTTGCCACAGTGTGAAAGCGGCCTGTTTCAAGCTCTTTTTAGATATGAGGTGGGCCATGGAATTTGCAGTGTCTCTGCATCATTATTTTGGGCTGCTTCTTTTGCGAGCCGATCTGCGGCCTCATTCCCAAGGTTGCCAATATGCGCTTTTGTCCATTCTAGGTTGATTTTTAAGGTCTTGTGAAAAGAGAGTTGTTCTTGAATTGCTGCAATTATGGGGGAGCCGTGCATAGGATTTAATATAGCATATAATGTTGACAGACTGTTATTATAAAACTGTTTTGATGTCGATATTCGGTAATAGTGTTTATTGCGTGACAAATGGCTTTGGCTTTGCTTTGAAAAACACTGTTTCTGGATTCCAAGTGTCCTTTCCATTGGCGTATTGGTTGCTGTTGCCGAAATGCGATGTATGCACAGCCAACATTCTCGTCAGTTTTTGAGCCATCTGTGTAGAACACGATATCATTGTCCGTAGCTCTTGTGTTTTGCTTAATATTAATGTGCACGCCTTGGCCTTGCGTCGACGGGTGTGTGTGGAGGCAATTGGATTCCCGTTCTAGGTTATCTGCCGTAAAAGTTATGGTCACCAAGCACCGCAGGGCGGCCTAAGCTGCTTCACCAACTGGTAGGCTGCCTTTTTTCCACATTTATGAAAGAGGGGGCAATCCGGCCAAGGACATTAGTGCATTCGTTGGAGATGTTCTAAAAGCCTTTAGTAATGTTGAGCAGGAACGGCCTTTGTATACTCTGTAGATATTTTATTTTGCGTTCCTTGCATCGGAGAGGCCCATATTGCAGCTCCATATGTTACTATTTTCCCAGTGACTGTCATATACAGGATCTTGAGTAAATGGGGGTTAAGTTCCCATCTGTAACCATTCATCAACTTGAGCTTGAGGGCAATCTGTGCTGTTCGTTTCCTAAGCTCCAGCACGTGAGGGGTCCAGTTTAGTTTGTCATCAAAAGTTATGCCCAGGTACTTTAGTTCTCGCTTAATGCGGAGTCTTTGGCCGTTGAGCGTTATTCTTGGTTGGCGTGCGAGTGTGCTCCTTTTTTTATTAATCAGCAGTATTTGAGCAAGCAACCACTAGAGAGGAACTAATGTACCACGGTGAATTGAGCTGTAAACCATAAGACGATTGTGACGACATCCACCAGTACGCGAACATACGACGGGTCACCACATTAAACTGGTGGAATAGCCAATTACGCGCGCAATAGCAAAAGTGTCGTGCCTTAAGACGACGGCTAAAAGTATTCCGTGTATACGGCTTAATAATTAAGTATTCCGTGTATACGGCTTTGTCTCAGCTATTTGGAGTTTTATTGCTGTGCCAATTTTGAGGCACCTGGGGAATGTGCCAGTGGAAAGAAGTTTGCTGAAAAGGGTACGGAAGAGGTTGACGTGCTCGCACGGAAGAGGTTGACGTGCGACCGTATTGCGATCTTAACTATTCGATAGTTTATTCCGTCTGGCCCCGGTGCTTTCTTTTGCGGTAGCTGTCGTAGGACATGTAGGATGTCTTGATTTGTGAAAAGAGCATCGTTCATGGCATCTATAGCCAGGGTTTGGTTACGCATGGTTGCTTGTGTCGTTGTGTCATCTGTAGGATCGTCCTTCGTAAAGACCGTGTTGAGCACTTCTGTCAATGTAGCTTCAGTGAGGTGTTCATTGGTGTTAGGTATGGGCAGGAGATGAAAGGAGGCCTGTTTGAACAGCTTTCCCGTTTTTAGCCGTCGTCTTAAGGCACGACACTTTTGCTGTTGCGCGCGTAATTGGCTATTCCACCAGTTTAATGTGGTGACCCGTCGTATTGTTCGTACTGGTAGGATGTCGTCACAAGTCGTCCTAATGGTTGACATCAGTTCACTCGTGAGTACATGTAGTTCCTCTCTAGTGGTTGCTTGCTCAATTCGATTGCTAAAGGGTGCCAGGCGTGATTTGATAGCTGTAACGAATGACCTGACCTTGCGACCTGGTAGGTTGTACCTTCTGATGATAGTTGTTTCTGTGGCTCTGGCAATGGTGAATCGTATGTAATTGTGGTCGGAAAGGCTTACGCCTTCCACGACCATCCAATCTTGTACTAGTTGTGCCATTTGAAGGGTCGAGACTGTAAGGTCCGGCCACCCTCTTGAGTGGACGCGATCAAAAGTCGGTGGCGCATCTTGCTGGTTATGCAAGATCAGGTTGTTGCTTGAAATAAAATCCTCCAGGGTACGTCCCTTTGGCTCTGTGGTAGCATATCCCTTTGTTGTACTATGACAGTTAAAGTCTCCCGCAATCAACACGTTGTCTATTTTTTGCTCTCGCATCAGTTGTTGCATTTGCAAGATACTGTTTTCGATATCTGCCTATGGCGGAGAGTACACGGAGACTAGGATTGCTATCAAATTGTGCACCTCTAGCAGGATGGCCACTATGTCCTTTTCCGCAATGATTACAGCGGGGGTCCACATAGGGTTGCAATTTACTATAATGGCTCTTGGCGGCTCGTTGGTATCTTCCTTTTGGAAAACAGTCCACTGTAGGGGGTAGCCCACGGCTTTGCCATGTAAAGAATAAGGTTCTTGTCCTAGTAGGAAGTCGATCTGTTCTGTGGAGGTGTATATGGCTGCCTGTGCCGTTGCTGCACGAGCGCGTTGCAGATTTATCTGCAAACATTGTATTGCGTCCTGTCTGCGCGATTGCGTACCGTTGATGTCCAACTGTGTATTTTTATGCTGTACATTTGGGGGTTGCTGATTCTGTCTGCTTCTTGTAGTATTTTCCATTGTCTGATTGTTAGTATTCCGTATTGTTACGGATGTTCTGCACGTTTCGCTGGTATTGCGGGCAGTCTGAATTTAACGCTGGGTGGTGAATGTTGTATCTGTCCCCGTAGCGGTAGTTAGCTTCTCTACAGTTGATACATTGTGGCATCTGAGCGTTGCATTCTCTAACTCCGTGATTGCCTGCGCAGAAGGAGCAGAATTGCTTGCGGCTTTTGCAGTCGGCCTGTGTGTGTCCGAACTGCTGGCATCTGTAGCATCGCTTGATGTCAATATGCTCAGTGATTCGGTGGGCCTGCCAGCCAAGGAAGATTTTTCTCTGACGCATGATGGCCTCAAAGCTTGTGGGCTCACATTCAAATATCCACTTGACTCTGCCCTTGCGGCGCTCTTGGAGTCGGTGGAGAGTCCTGAAGGTGGGGCTGGGCATATTTGAGGCACCGCTAATTTCTGCAAGTACGTCTTCGGGATTTGCTGTTTCGGGCAGGTCATGTACCGCGAACCTGGGCTTACGCATTTTTGGCCTGCAGATGTCCGCCAGGATTTCTGTCTGCTTGATCTGCTGTTCAAGGGCTGCGACATCTTCTTTGGATTTGCAGACTACTTCAAAGCCGCCTTTATTGCTCTTTGTTACTCTTTCAACGCCGACTTTTAACTTGGAGAGAGGCAATTTGGCTCTGTTCTTTTAGCTCTGTGCCTGTAATGTCTGTCTTTGGGCGTATGCAGGCACGGGTTTTTAGTTTTCCGGTCAATCTCCGCAAATGTCGGATATGTGATTGATGGTGGTGGTGTTGGAGTATGGGGATCGTGTGGCTGCTGAGTAGTTGACGCTATTTGCTGTGTATGAGAAATTTCGCAACAGAACACTGTTGAAGTGTTTACTCCTGTGTCAACTTTTGCAGGTTTAACCGTGAATTCCGAACCCTCTAGGGCCAGCGTTTGGAGTGCAGCCAGTGAATCTAGTAGGCGCGCTCGAAAATCTGTTGACAGAAGGAATTTGGCGCCTTGATTTGTCGTAGTCGCTACCTGCCTGATATCCTTGTATAGAATGGTGACTTTCTCCACGTGGGGCAGGTCCGATGTAACTACTGCTGAGGCGTCTATTATGGTATGCGATGTAGAGGTGGAATCACTATCAGCTGGAATAACTGAAGCACGAGACATGATATTCCGTGTAATACTGTGGGCACTATTTGGTGTGCTGAGGCTAAATCGCTAATAGTGGTGAGTTGAACTTGGAGTGACTTAGAAAATTTACAATACAGTAGGCAGTAAATAATCAGAACATGGAATAACACTGATACATGAAAAACATTTAAATAAATTTAACAAGCATTAAATTCTATGAAAAAAAAAACCTTTTTAGATGGTTGTTCTAGGGCGTATGAGGTCAAAGTTATTGATTTTTACAAAAATAAGTAAAATTTACACTTGGTATTAAAATACCTTGAACATATAATGTTAACAGTGCATGTAATTAAAGATAACCTAATGCAAAAAATAAGTTGAAATAAACATAAATGCAATAAACAGAAAGAAAACTATTAGACAGTTAAAAACATCTTTAGAGTAGATCGCTAAGGTAATTAAGGGCCAAGTTATTGAATTTTAACAAAATAAGCAGCAAAATATTAACTGTTGTGAGAGACGTTAGAATGGTCGAAGAATATTCTAAGTCCTGATATCAAATGTTGAAAAAATTCAGTTAACAGGCTATTGCGGTGTATATTAATGGAAGGAGAATAACAGTCCTACCTTAGTCTTCTTCAGATGGAGTGGCTATGTCGAGTAGATCGCGAGATTTTGAATTTTGAAAAAATAAGCACTTTTAGGCACTAAAGTTACACTGAAAACTTAGGCCTACCCCGGTCGCCACGTGGTAGCTCGTCGGCACGTTTCCGTCGAGATGACGGTTATGCTGGTAAGCACAAACACCGTTGAAATGCGGCGGACGGATTCCTTTGTAATTTTCACAAAAACTTTTATAACTTCGCTAATTTTTTGGTCGCACACACAAAATTTAGGTATCCACATGTAGGTTAACACTTCGCGAACCAGTAGATACATAGAGAGATCCCCCTTCTTTCTGCATGCCTTAGTGGTGTAACGGTTAGCACTCTCGTCGCGTATTTAAGAGGTCCAGGTTCGAGTCCCGGCGAGAGCATTGCTCATTTTTCACTTCTGTTTCAAACAATCCTAATGACTCTACAACTTCATTCTCAATTATACTGCTTTAAAGAATTTTAATTTTAAATTTATATAATTTACTTTACAAGTATAATGACTTATGTAATTTAACTTAACAGTGATCACCAGCTTCTAAGGCAGATTGTTTTAATATTGTTGCATTCTACAATTCTGGGTTCGTGGATTTGGAGTGATTTGATGACAACACTTGATGAAGAATCAAAACAGAATTTATTAGGCAATATTACTCAGGGCAGTTTAAAAAGTATGTTTACAGTCGTCAAAATACTAAGATAAGCACCTTGAAACAATGAGCAACACAGCCTTCAGGCTATAACTGTGAAAACAGCTTCACAGCAAAAGACTAAATACAGCTGCCGACTCGGTCAATCGCTCTCGGATCTCAACACATTCAAGATATTCTTCACAAAAAACTGACGATACACTGCTACTGTGTATGCAGGCAGGGTTTATATAGCTTTTGGACTGCCTTCGAGATAATTCTAGGGCAAACCGGTAAGAATTCGTTCCAGAATGTTGTCGCTCCCACCAGTTTTGTTGCCAAATGAGCAATTTCAAGCCAAATCTGGAAACCGTGCGTTTCCTTGCTACTTTCTGGAAACCCTAAACCCGCTTTGCGGGGAAGCTATCTTATTGCAGCTGGACATTTCATAACAATATTTATTCCAGCAGCAGTTATTCAGATAATTAAGAGAAAGTTTTAAATTATTATATTCAAATTAATTCAATTTTTACGATACGAGTATGGTTCTGCCAACGATATTGTTTGCAGAAAGTCATTAATTCAGAATGTTGAAATGTGATTGGCTATGTATACGCGTTTTCATATGAATTTGAGAGTAAAAGAATTTCTAAATGCGTTTTTTTACTATGCATACCTGATACATCTTTTGATGCATTTGCAACCACAAGTCTGTGGAGATGATAGATCGTGGTACTTGAACAGCTGAAGAGATAAAGGTTGGGATCTCCGACCATTGCACAAGAATGCTTATCAGTATCACGACTGAAATAACAGTAATAGCAGTATTTAAAAGTGTTGTCAATATTCTATGGTTTTCGTTTGTTCATCAATAGCATTCTATCGTTTCAGAGTATGGTCCTTCAGAGACTTGCATTCATTAATGTAAAAGTTTTAAATTTTCACTCCCATTGATATTTTTACAAAAAGCTTCGTATAACTCTATGAAGTGCGCAAATTTTCTAAGAGTTTTGTTGCTAGTATTTAGATTTACGACACCTCTTATAACGCATTTTTCTTCATTATGACTCTGTGTAATTTAAGCATTTACTACTGAAAGGTTCATAAGAATGATACTTAGGAAGCAATGTATTATTAGCCCAAAATGGCTATTAGTTTCACAACGGCATTTTGGAACGAATTACTAAAAGAGTTGAATCATTTTTAAAACTGTTGCCACCAAATGTTATTGCCTTGTTTTACAATTATAGAAATTAAATAATGAAGAATCTGCGTGAATGTTATGTTTTTCCCATTGTGAGAAGACAACGGTCTAGAGACATCAAATTTTGAATAACATAGTCCTCCACCCGAATATGGGCCCCTGGAAATCCAAACTTGAAATTTCGAATTTGTTTTATTATCTATTTAAACAATTTTGAAGTGAAACTGTGCGGAATAAAACATTTGTTATCTTCAGAGCGCAAGATTGTCTATCGGGAATTCTGAGGATATGCTGTTTTTAAATATTTTAGTCCCGAAGGGTCATTATCCAAATGCCCCCGAAATGTGTATGTGTGTGTAAATGAAAAAAAAAAAAAAAAGGTCTCTTTGCACCTAATATAAAATCTGAAACTTTCAGATTTTTGTCTTTTATTTATTATGTTTTTGTTGTCATCCATTTCATGGGATTAATTTGGGCATAAATTTCCAGTCTTTAAGTAAGCAGCTGTTTATGTCTTTATCAAAATTCCTATTATGAATCCCCTTATCTTCTAGTCATTGTAGTGAGGCACATTTCTGAAGAAAACCTTTTTGATTAGCATAAACCTCAGGAATTCCTAATGAATATTTACTCTTTTCACGAATTTCAATGACGAAATTTGTCATTTCACTTAAATTACCTACATTTTGAAATTAATTGCTGTATACCAAAAGTTAATTCAACTACAAATAGCGCTAACGATATTATTAACGAAATTTTGATCCCGATATTTAATTATCATTTAAATGAACGCACACGTCCAAAGTGAATGCCAAGTCTATAGAAATGTGCATTTTTACAAGGAAATGAGTAATTAAAAATTTCATATACTTTTGGTGCTTGTATGAAAAAATTAAATATTAATTTTGTAAAACGTTTTCATATTGAGACGATCTGACAAAA